ATGAATTTGTTATAAATTATGCTCTATTGGTCGTTTTTGTTTTTCTACCAACCTTTACTTCTGTGACAGTGAGATAGTGTGACGTCTTTACTGGGTTAGTGTAGCTCATTCCTTACTTAACCATTTCAGATTAGGAGGACTTGGTTTCCGAGCCCGTTCTGCAGGAAGACGGCGAGTAGATGCCTAAAAATTTTGTAATTTTCTTTATAGTATTCATTTTTAGTATTTATTTTAGTTAGTTTATTCTTTTATACGTTTAATACGTTTTGGTTATTGTATAAGGGATGTTAATCATAATATTTTGTTTCACTTCCGCACTTAAAATTTTTATATATACGTTTTCTTTTCATTTCCGGGGCCGTTACAATAGTGAAATGGATAATTCACGATTCGTATTTAAATATATTAAATATTATTCATAATTTTGAACCACTTCCTCGTTACTCTGTTATAAATTATTATCCAAATAATTAACCTATTATGCTTAATTATTTTAATAATGAAATTAAAACTAACTCATTTTCCAAAGACCTAATTATCATTCTCACATGACTGAATGTAAAGAAGAATAATAGGCTTGTTTGTGTTAGATTATAGCTCTGATATATATATATATATATATATATATATATAAAAGAGTTGAGTCTTGAAAACTTGACATGGTAGGATGATGTGGCAGTAACGAGGTGGAGATATGCTGAACGGATGCTGCTTTCAGCAAAAACAAATTTAGAGATGTCATGCTGACATCAGAATTAACGTCAGCAAGACAGATGCTGAAAGGATGAGAAATCAGCTCGGAGAGAATAATAGTTTATATATATGCTGTCATATCCGCTATCCATTTTTCAATCGATGACTATTTCATGAATATATATATATACAGATCATATATATGTGTTGCTGATTATACATGCTTGTGTGTTTTTAAGTCAAGGACGTTCAATTTGTAATTGAGACGCTTGTCCAAAATTTCCAATTTTTCTTGAATAAATATTTCATTACTTATTTAACAATATAAATTATTTTAACCAAAATATTCTTACTTTTTCTCATTAACTAAGAAGATAAAAAAGACAACAGAGTGGATTTACATATATATATATATATATATATATAGATCATCAGAACATCACGTGAAAAGAACTAAGAACAAGAACATGCTGTTTACATGTACACACACACACACACATATATATCATATATATATATATATGTACGAATGGTTCTTATTTTATTTGGTGAAAAGAACACGCAGTTTAATATTAAACACTAATATATTGCGAGTCAGACACAAACGAAACCCCTGACCTAGAATTAATCAAGATTTATGATCATCTCCATATCTCCTGGAAACTTTAACCTTCAAACCATTCTTCATGTGCAGCAAAATAGAAATCCCTGGCTCTATACACTGTCCTTCAACTACTTGCAGTTTATAATTATATATAATTGCTGCCGCCACAAGTTTCAACTGAGTAAAAGCTACTTCCTTCCCCAAACACGTCCTTGGACCTGCATTGAATGCCAAAAACTTATAAGACGGTTCATGTTTAATTCTCCCTTGTTCAGATATCCATCTTTCAGGCTTGTATTCATAACAATCTTCCCCCCATATCGATCTCATTCTCCCCATTGCATATAATGAAAACAAGATCTTCATCTTTGGATCAACGTAATGGCCACTGGGAAGTACATCTGGTTTTAATGGCTCCTTGTGTTGAAATGGAACTGGGGGATATAGTCTTAGTGATTCACAGAGTGCTGAGTGGAGATAAACCAGTTTGTCAACCTCGTTTATGTGAAAAACAAGATAACTAGTCTGAGTTGATGGTTTTATGTTTGAGTTGAGTTCTTCTCTGATCTTGGCTTCAACTTTAGGGTTCTGAGAAATTAACCAGAAGAACCAACTGAGAGCTGAACTTGTTGTGTCTCTCCCTGCAAGTAGCAAGCTTAAAAAGGTGTCTCTCAACAACTTATCGTCATTCTTGATTTGATTATCTTCAAGTCTCATGTAACATGTCAATAAATCCATAGCTTCTGACTCGGGGTTTTGACTCAGTTCTTCTTTCTTCAACGACAAGTATGATGATATAACTCGGTCAAAAGTTTGATAAGCTTTTATCATCTTCTTCTCTTCTCCAATACCCAGCAGCTTCTGCAACTTCCACAAGATTTGTGGCTTTATATGTCGATAAAAAATCACTTCTTCTGCGTCATCCAACGCCTTGGCGAATTCAATCTCGGGAAAATCAAGCGAGAGACAACCTGGGTCGTACCCAGTAACCAATTTGCAGGTAGAATCAAACGTGAATCTCTGAAATAAATCTTGTAAATCCACCATCAACCCATGTTCCGCCACGTGTTCAAGAACCGGGATCAGACCATTCTCCACTTTGTCCCGACTAGTCTTGACCAGAAACTTGTAAAACCCTCGATGGCTCATGAAACTCTGAGCAGTCTTTCTCTGATTCTTCCACAACTCGTTGTCGGCGTTGAAAATCCCATCGCCTAAAACATCAAAGATTTTCTTGAACTCGGAACCTTTGGGAAAATTCGAAAAGTTTGAGCTCATAATGTAGTGAATATTGGCTGGATCCACTGTCACCAACAAATCCATGTTAGCAAACCATGGACCTTTCAACAAAAAAGTGCACCCACTTTTGTCAAGAAACTCAGTTGCCCAATCTTGGAGCCGGGGGAGATTGATGATAATATCCGGCAACGTGCCAAGAACTGGAAAGTTTCTAGGCATGCCATTGTTTTCCTTAAGGAAGAAACCCAAGATCAAGAAACAAGCAACGGCCAACAAGATTTCAATTAAGCCTATCATCGCCATTGATTACAGCTTGTACTGATTTGCTTAATTGATATATTCACCACCGCCTTGTTTCTATCTGCTGCAGCTACTTATATATTGACTGTTTGGTGTTCAATGAAGGTAGTTAGTTGGAAGTGCTTTTATAGACAGAGACGTGTGTGTTTGAAATATTTTCTTCATCCTGGTATATTTCAGCGTAGACATTGATAGAAAAAGACAATCCGCCATTAACATATCTTCACAACCTCCATTCGTCTTAATCCTCTTGACATTGATAGCTAGCTGGGAGCTTGTTTTATTGTTTGGCCATATATGTATATTTATATATATAGTTGTTCATAATTTGTAAGGTATATGTATATTGGGAAGTGGGTTAAATCTAACACGAATTACTTTATTAGATTTTTTTTGTATTAGGTTCCTTTAACTTTGCTTTTGGTTTTGATTTTTATATTTTAAAAACACTTTTATAATTAAATAAGTAAAATAATTTTTTTTTTTTTGTGAAAATAAAAATTAATATTTAGTAAATTTAAGTACAAAAATTATAATTCATGATTTTTAAAAAATAATTTCGACTTTAAAAAATTAGAAAAAAATTTCAAAAATTATTTCTATCAATTGATTTTTTTTTTTTTTACTTTTCTCAAATGACAATATTTTACTGAATTATTTCTATCAATTTAATGTGGGTTAATATGGCCTCTTTGCAAGCTACTTTCATATGGCAATAATTAAAATTACGCAGATTATAAAATGTAAAAAAAAAATAATAATTAGTTAATACATGTGGGGAGCATCGTAATACGTAGAAGTCAATTAATTAATTAGTGATCCAGATTGTGAAGCTTATCTCTTTATCCATAAATAATTAACAAAGTAGTTGGCGTTTGACTAGTCTTCTTACTAGGTCAGCGTACCTTGTACACTTTTAAATTAGGATAATGTCTCTTTAATATAGATGAATATATACAATATATAATTTTCAGAATAGATAACTATTATATATATATATATATATATTATCACATCAAATATGTAGATGATTATATATAATATACATTAATTTTATTTTAATACATAAAATTATTTAGCACATAATTTATATATAATAAATTAATAATTAGGTTACATTTTTATTTTAAAAAATTAAATAAATAATTCATAGATATATATTATTATATTAAATAAATAATTTTTATTTTGTTTTTAGATATTTTAATAAAATTTAAATGTTATACTAATTGAAGAATACCATTAACAAAAAAATTAATTTAATTAATTTAAGTGATGTAGATGATAACAATGATATTAAAAAACGAATACCTCTGTAATTATTATTTTTTCATTTTTAAGTTACTAATTTTTAATAAAAATATTACGTTTTAAAATTATTTCTTTATATTATTAATGCAATAATACAAAAAAAAAAAAAAAACTTTTGTTATTTCTGTAAAAAAATTTGGGTAAAATATCAACTTTTAGATGTTAAATTCCCTATTAACTATAACTTATTATTCTATAATTAGAAAAAATTAAATAAATAAAAAATTATTTTTATAAACATCTTGTGAATCACCCGTGTATATATTATATTGAGGTGATAATTTGATATGACATAACGTATTATATTATATACTGTATGTGATCTTTGTTTTTTTTTTTTCAGTGGAGATTATAATAAGATACATTTAATTATGACAAGAGTTGATTAAATCTAAACAATTATTCGGTCCTTCGTTAGGCACTTTGATAGGAATTATGCATATGCATAGTACATTTTTGTATAAAGAAAACAATGTATACGAACAAAATGATGACAAGTCGCGTGCTATAAAACATAGTTTGTGAAAATTATAATTCAACATGATTAAGTCAATTATATGGTTGAACCTAATAAATTATTAGGTATTTCATTCTAAATTAGTGCAAACACTGGGCGCTTTAGTCGGGATTTAGCCTAAAAAATATACTTTGAATATCTTTTTGTACTCAGTACGCATCAATTAACTTGTAATTCATATATACGTATTTTGTTATAAAGATAGAATATCTATGAACAAAATGATGACAAGTGGAGTGCTATAAAAATTAAAATAATATAAGTTTATAAATTAACATATATTGTCTCAAAAAAATTGTGATTCTTTAAAAATAATATGATGTAATAGTATTAATTATTTATCATGGTGCCCAAGATAACAATAAAGAGGTAAAATTTTTTAAATTTCGATCTTTGTAACTAGTGGTACTCATACTCGAGACTTGTTGGCGGGTTGAGAAAAAAACTAAAAACTATTTGTAAGTGGCTAACCAAATGAAATACAGAAGTGGTTGGCAAAGATAAAAAGTATCAAGAGTGATAAATATCAAGATAACACAAGTCATAATGGGCTGCCACATGGAAGGCAACGATCATATGGGAGATCATGGCCACATGGGAGGTCACGCCCACATGAGATTAGGAGATGATGATCACATGAGAGGAAATCAAGATCCAATTCAAGACATACAAGCCCCCATGGAGATAAGCCTAAGATGGACACAACTCAAGATATACATAGCTGCATAAGAGAATATCATGATGCGTAGTGACCAATCACAAAATCACGAGTGAAAAAACTCGAACAAGTATTTCAACTTATGTTCGAAAGTGGATAAATGAATAAAAAAGTTTTGGTTGAACTTGAAGCCTATGAGATGAAAGTCAAATCCATTGAGCATAGAGAGCAACCCATCATCTC